AGTGCACTTGAATTAATATGTTTCACTACTGCGTCTCTTCATGCACAGAAGACCTCCACTAAACATAAAATCAACATGTTTTATCTGTCTCTCTGTGACCGCCGATAACTTCACAACAAAGTTCACTACAAATACAACGTTGCCAATGTCTTTGCAATTGTTACAAACAAGCGAAGGATAAAAAAGATGCTTAAAATGAAAAGCGAGATGACTGCATTAAAAGATAAATGGCCTATTTGGAGCGGGCATGTCGGGGGAGAGCACCGACAGCAGCAGCAGCACTTTCAGAGCAACGCTCTCAAACAGCGCGTCCTAATCCAGTGAAGGGGACACGCTACTTGATGACGGATCAATATGAGGAGACAGAACTGCTACGGCCGGTGTGATGAGACAACTCTATCCGGTGGAATACGACGATACGAGGACTTCTTTCAGAGAGCGCTCCGTCAACCAGGCCCCCAGTGGGCAGAGCTAGGCATGATGGACTGGGGCACGTTTTAATACCATAACAAGCCTCTCATTTTACAGTGGGTCCACCATGTTCTGTGTAGTCTAGTTACGCTAATATATTTGCAGTTAATTTCGTTTTAGACTGAATCAGTGAAATATGTTTGAGTAGTAAACAGAGAAACAACAAGGAGTCCCAGACAGTTCACAATAGAACATACCAGAGGAGGGCATCGGTTACTAGGCTACCTATGTTATTGGGATCATCTGGGCTCGTTGACAAAACAGACCATAAAACGCCTTTACACGCGAAGGTCCGCGGTGGGTCTGTGTAAACTAGCCGATTATATTGGAGACAGGTTTATAGCAGTGAATGGCATCTATTCATTTTCTCTCATAGTATTTCTATGTAGAAGCAATATCAGCCAGGGAAACTAATTGTACTCACTTTATGATAGAACATTCCGACTTTTCTGCCTGACTGTGGCGTTATTTACCTGAATTGTTAAGATTTCCTGGTTGATCACAACAAAACTACCTAATTCGTTCAAATAGAGATAGAATTAAATGGTGTTTTCTTTGAAAAGATGGGCCTGGCCAGAATAGAACGTTCAGGTTTCTGCCTGAGTGTTACGAACCCCGTGGCTTTAAAAGTCTAGGGTGGATGGAAAAGAGTCCCATAACATAACTCATGGGAATTAGAATATTGACAAGGAACAGTGAGAACAAAATACACCAACGCTAAGCTTACTGCTAACCATATTAAAATACAGTGGGTGGTCCCCTCAGGTCTAACTAGTGTGTTTAGACAAGGTTGTCCTACGGGTAGTGTAGGCCCAAGGGCCACCTGTTAAACCCACCTTTCCCCAGGAACAAACAAACAACATAGGTCCAATATGGACTAGACAGCAAACAACATAGGTCCAATATGGACTAGACAGCAAACAACATAGGTCCAATATGGACTAGACAGCAAACAACATAGGTCCAATATGGACTAGACAGCAAACAACATAGGTCCAATATGGACTAGACAGCAAACAACATAGGTCCAATATGGACTAGACAGCAAACAACATAGGTCCAATATGGACTAGACAGCAAACAACATAGGTCCAATATGGACTAGACAGCAAACAACATAGGTCCAATATGGACTAGACAGCAAACAACATAGGTCCAATATGGACTAGACAGCAAACAACATAGGTCCAATATGGACTAGACAGCAAACAACATAGGTCCAATATGGACTAGACAGCAAACAACATAGGTCCAATATGGACTAGACAGCAAACAACATAGGTCCAATATGGACTAGACAGCAAACAACATAGGTCCAATATGGACTAGACAGCAAACAACATAGGTCCAATATGGACTAGACAGCAAACAACATAGGTCCAATATGGACTAGACAGCAAACAACATAGGTCCAATATGGACCAGACAGCAAACAACATAGGTCCAATATGGACCAGACAGCAAACAACATAGGTCCAATATGGACTAGACAGCAAACAACATAGGTCCAATATGGACTAGACAGCAAACAACATAGGTCCAATATGGACCAGACAGCAAACAACATAGGTCCAATATGGACTAGACAGCAAACAACATCTCTGTCAGAAAACACAACTGACTGGCTTTTAAAACCAGGGGATTTGACATGGTAATGCAAAACCAGAAACAGGCGGGGCAATACTGAGGAACGTCCACTGATTGGTCCACCTCAGCAATCAGCAGACGAACGGATGTCAGACAGGTGGGACACCCCAACGACCACCAATCAGGAAAACAAGGGACACCTGTGATTAGGGCTGAAGGAGAGGGAAAACAAACACACATACAGGATACCTGTTTCCATAACAACGTCTGTCCAAATCTTGTTTAGGTACTAAGTACATTTTATTGGCCATCACACTCTGTGTTCAACCGATTTTATATTCACGATTAAATAAGAAAACAGAGCTTTGGTGGCGTCCTCATTGCTTTCCATAAAGTAGGATTTACGGCTAGAATGTTTATTTGTAGTTTGTCTCTAGGGTTTTTGAACAAAACAAAGTAATTGGCGTTCAGGCTAATGGTAAGGCTATTTTACCTTGGTGAAACACATTTTGTACGAAATAACACACTGACAAGTTTTGATGATGAGTATATTGAGTAAAAGCTTGAGCTATTTCAGGATGTTCACTACCGGCAAAAACCATATCATCCAAAACCAGCAGATTTTTTTTTTAATGAGGAAGTAAGAATTCATCATCAGACAGGGATGCTGGTATTCCTTCAACAAATTAGATTTTTATTTTCTTCAACAACTCATCATACAAAAGTTGATAACATGAATAACACCACACAATATTGTCAGGTTTCTGAGATAATACATGTTCAGAATTCTCTAAAATCCTTTTTACAAAACAAGTTTTACCGCTATTGGATGGTCCTGCGATTAAGGCTGGTAGTTGCAACCTAGGATCAAAACCTTCTACAGCATCCATTGTATCTTCAGTGTTAAGACACAAGGATTTTAACATAAAGTCAGTAACCAAAGGGTAAAGTGGTCCCGTCAGGTAAAAGTCATCTCTTGTCATAGACGACCCGGAATATTTTAGTAAGTGGGGCATTACGTAGATGGAACCCCTTTTAATCCCTAACAATCTTTTTGTAGGAGTTTCAAAATTTCTAAAACACTATTTCGGTCGTTTATAAAACCCTCGACTAAGCGTGTGATTGATTCCAAGTTTACACGCAGGGAATTTTCATAGTTTTGTGTCACGCCTTTGGCTTTCAACACTACGTGATAGTTTTTAGTCCTAAAAGCATAGCGTTTGGGTCCACAGGATGACCACTCTATGATATGGTCACCATCTTCCAGTTCACTCGTTAAACCTCCCAGATAGTTGCTAAGAGGGGGGTTCCAATCACCAGGTTTGCTTCCATAGACCCCAGAGTCTGTGTCATGGTAAAGAACCCGACTCTGCAGGTGCTCCATGAGGGTGTGTAGTTCAAGTCGCCCATAGGCCGTGGTAAAAGCTGCTAGAAACACGTTTCCATTACTCGGGGGTAGAACCCACTTCCTGTTACGTCTCCATTAAACCAGAGCTGTGTCTTGATTCAAGAACAAAACATTTGAAATGTCAGATTGGTCTGAAAAAAACAATCCCATAAATTATTTGGGATCTTTAATGATAGATGTTGTTAACATATTGCTTCTCTGGGCAAATATGCCCCCCAAACTGTTCAAGAAAAGCTTGCACACCTTTATTTTGGCTTTGTTGACCTCTATTCTGTCAGGGTCAAGACGTATGCCCTCTTTTTCATGATAGTCCTGAATGTATCTGTCTTTGCTCTCTTGATCAGTGACTGATGCAGGAAACCCTGAAGCCATTTGCTTGCCTCTCAAGAAGGTCTTGATGTACTCTTTAAAAAGAGTGTCTGATTTCCTGGGAAAGGTCCACACTTCAAAGACTTTGGCCACACGATACCTCTTCTCTATAGCCTTAGAGAATTCAACGGTGACCCATTTTATTTTTGTATTTCACCTTTATTTAACCAGGTAAGCCAGTTGAGAACAAGTTCTCATTTACAACTGCGACCATACACCATACACCGGTCAGGGCTCTTTCTTGAGCTGAATGATCACAAGGCTTTTCCTGGTTGTTGTTTTCACTGCAGGTGCGACAAAGGGGAAAGAAAAGTTTTCCTTGAGGTCCTTTGTAAGGCAACACTGACAAAAACAAGCCCCCGGGAGGGTAAACAGTTGCTTTTATCAAAGCAAAATAGTTTTGTGGTAAGTCAAAGTTACAGTGAATAATTTTAGGATGTCCCAAAGGATAACAAGAGGAACTCATTACATGAGGATAAAGGGAAGTATAATCTATATATCCAATTTCCTCATCAGCTATATAACGTAAGGTCAAAGCATTGGTACGACCCCCAAACAAGGCCTGGCAGGGCTCCAGGGGTTGGGGTCAAAGGTGGAAAGGAAAGCTGGAACATGAGGATCAGACCTTGTGAGTTCTGTCCCCTCGTACTCCCACATCACCTTCCCTTTCACCCCATCAGCAGCCTGGAAAGAGGACCACTTGTCTTGGAACTCCTGGTACATTTCCCCCAAAGTCTTCTGGGTTCAGACACACATGGCCTGGGGCAGAAAGCAAGATTTACAACCATGGAAGAAACAACCGTTGTACTCAAACACTGTCTCAACAATCTGTGTGTACTCATCTACATGGTAGGGGCCAATCTTTTTTTCACCTTTATTCAAAGCATGTTGAATAAAGATGTTTTTAGCCTGGGACAAGTACTCCAACCATTGAATGGAGCCGCTAGAGTCTGACTTGTATTGTCTACGGTAGTTGTCAGGGCGATGGAATAGCATCAGAGTATGACTTGTATTGTCTACGGTAGTTGTCAGGGCGATGGAATAGCATTAGAGTATGACTTGTATTGTGTACGGTAGTTGTCAGGGCGATGGAATAGCATTAGAGTATGACTTGTATTGTGTACGGTAGTTGTCAGGGCGATGGAATAGCATTAGAGTATGACTTGTATTGTCTACGGTAGTTGTCAGGGCGATGGAATAGCATTAGAGTATGACTTGTATTGTCTACGGTAGTTGTCAGGGCGACGGAATAGCTATAGAGGCTGGAGGTAAAAAGTGTCTACGATAAGTTTTCATGCATGCCGATGCAATAGTTGTACAACTCAAGGGGTCAATGCATGCATCTTTAATTACCTCTGCTCTGAATCTGAGGCATCCTTCTCGCAGTATAACCACATCATTATCACAATATAATTCCATCTCTTTATGGAAATCAAAGGTATTATGGCGTACTGTCTCATACTAAGTCATGAATCTCTCTCTGTCTCTTTGGGAGACATTTGATCACACCTGTACATTTCGGGACCAGGATAAGATCCAATATAATGTCGATTCTCCTCAGTTGTGAAGAAATGAGGAAACCATCCTTTCACAGAGTTTTCAAAACCCCAATGCCTCTGGCATTTGAGCCAATCTCATGGGCAAGAAACTTAAACTGTCAATGTATCTCTGGTTGAAGGCTGGGTCTACAAAACACAAGATTTGACTACCTTGGGCTATGACATTGGGTGCAACACCTTGTTGGCATTAGAGAGGGTAGTGTGTACGGCCCAGTACATCACTGGGACCAAGCTTCCTTCCATCCAGGACCTCTATACCAGGCGGTGTCAGAGGAAGGCCCAAATAATTGTCAAAGACTCCAGCCACCCTAGTCATAGACTGTTCTCTCTGCTACCGCACGGCAAGCGGTACCGGAGCACCAAGTCTAGGTCCAAAAGGTTTCTTAACAGCTTCCACCCCATTTTTACACTGCTGCTACTCTCTGTTTATTAACCATAGTCCATTTACCTCTACCTGCATGTACATATTACCTCAATAACCTGGACTAACCGGTGCCCCTGCACATTTACTCTGTAACGGTACCCCCTGTATACAGCCTCACTACTGTTATGATATTGTTGCTACTTTTTTTTTTTTTTTACTTCAGTTTATTTTACTAAATACTTTCTTAACACTTTTTTTTCTTAAAACTGCATTGTTGGTTAAGGGCTTGTAAGTAAGCATTTCACTGTAAGGTCTACACCTGCTGTATTTGGCGCATGTGACAAATACAATTTGATTTGATCAAGGGATTCGAAAGAAGATAGGAATCACAGGATCTAGAATTGTGAGTTATAAAAGTGAAGTTTTTGTACTGGGGTTTTCGGAAATGTTTCAGAAAGAGTAGCGCACCATTGGGGTCCTCTGCCGACCACTTTTCACCCTTGAAAGTCATGGTAGATACAAAAATAGGCAGATGGATTACTCTCAAAGTCATAAAACACAAATTTCTCTGAATGTTCATGTTCATCAGATGGTTGAAGGTAGCACTCATGTTCCAATTCTTTAGCCACTTCTGGGTCTCTGCTTTTCAAAGGCCCTTTACAGATAGGGTGTCATGAGGTGAGGTGTATGTGTGGTGGAAGTCAGGCGCAGGACACCGAGGCTCAGTCCAACAGAGTTTACTCAAAATTCCAAAAGGACACGGTAAACTAACGACCTCAAACAAAAAGAGGCGAGTATTTACGCACATGCGTAAAACACTAAATAACAAAACAAGAAACGAAAACACGCAACACAAGACAGGCGAACAACAACACACAACTAATCCAAACAAACACAGGGAACTTATAGGACACGTAATAATCACAAATCAGACACAGGTGCTAAAGACAGACAAAAGCAATCGCACATGGAAATAGTCCAACGATGGCAGCTAGTACTCCGGGGACGGCGAACGCCTTTGCCTGCCCGAACCAGGAGGAGGAGCAGTCTCGGCCGAAACCGTGACAGTACCCCCCCCTTGACGCGCGGCTCCAGCCGTGCGCCGACCCCGGCCTTGGGGACGGCCAGGAGGACGCGGACCCGGGCGCGTGGGATGCCCATGATGGAATTCTGTCAGGAGGGATGGATCGAGGATGTCCCTCCTGGGCACCCAGCACCGTTCCTCCGGACCGTACCCCTCCCACTCCACGAGATATTGGAGACCACTCCTCCGGCGCCTGGAGTCCAAGATGGTCCGGACCCTGTACGCCGGAGCCCCCTCGATGTCCAAAGGGGGCGGAGGGGTCTCTCCTATCTCCTCCTCTTGGAGTGGGCCAGCTACCACCGGCCTGAGAAGAGACACATGGAACGAGGGGTTAATATTTTTATACTCTATAGGTAGTTGTAACCTGTAACACACCTCGTTCAATCTTCTCAGGACTTTGAAGGGCCCCACAAACCGCCGACCCAGCTTCCGGCAGGGCAGGCGGAGGGGCAGGTTTCGAGTCGAGAGCCAGACTCGATCTCCCGGTGCGTACACCGGCCCCTCACTGCGGTGGCGATCGGCGCTCGCCTTGTGTTGACGGATGGCACGCTGCAGATGGACATGGGCAGCGTCCCACGTCTCCTCCGAGCGCCGAATCCACTCGTCCACCGCAGGGGCCTCGGTCTGGCTCTCGTGCCACGGTGCCAGGACCGGCTGATACCCTAAAATACACTGGAAAGGTGTTAATCCGGTGGAGGAGTGGCGGAGAGAGTTCTGGGCCATCTCTGCCCAGGGGATATACCTCGACCACTCCTCCGGCCGGTCCCGGCAATAGGACCTCAAAAACCTACCCACATCCTGGTTCACACGTTCAACCTGCCCATTGCTCTCTGGGTGGTACCCCGAGGTAAGGCTAACCGAGACCCCCAGGCGTTCCATGAAAGCCCCCCAGACTCTGGAGGTGAACTGGGGACCTCGGTCGGACACAATATCCTCGGGGACCCCATAGTGCCGGAACACGTGGGTAAAGATGGCCTCGGCGGTCTGTAGGGCAGTAGGGAGACCCGGCAGTGGGAGGAGACGACAGGCCTTAGAAAACCGATCCACAACGACCAAAATGGTGGTATTACCCTGGGAAGGGGGTAGATCGGTCACAAAATCTACCGAGAGGTGGGACCATGGTCGTTGTGGAACGGGCAGAGGATGTAACTTACCTCTGGGCAAATGTCTAGGTGCCTTACACTGGGCACATACCGAGCAGGAGGAGACATAAACCCTCACATCCCTGGCTAACGTTGGCCACCAGTATTTTACGCTAAGGCAGTGCACCGTCCGACCAATACCAGGATGTCCAGAGGAGGGTGATGTATGAGCCCAAGAAATAAGCCGATCACGAACCTCGAGCGGAACGTACGTCCGCCCCACAGGACACTCGGGGGGAGTAGGGTCGGTACGCAGCGCCCGCTCGATTTCCGCATCGACCTCCCATACTACCGGAGCCACCAGACAAGACTCCGGCAGTATGGAAGTAGGCTCAATGGACCTCTCCTCCGTGTCATACTGTCGGGACAGGGCGTCTGCCTTACCGTTCTGGGACCCAGGGATGTATGTGATTTTAAAAACAAACCGGGTCAGGAACATGTTCCACCTGGCCTGACGAGGGTTCAATCTCCTAGCTGCCCGGATGTACTCCAGGTTACGGTGATCAGTCAGAATGAGGAAAGGGTGTTGAGCCCCCTCTAGCCAATGCCTCCACACCTTTAGGGCCTGGACTACAGCTAACAGTTCCCTGTCCCCAACGTCATAATTGCGCTCCGCCGGGCTGAGCTTCTTAGAGTAGAACGCACAGGGGCGGAGCTTAGGTGGCGTGCCGGACCGTTGTGACAGGACTGCCCCAATACCGGTCTCGGACGCGTCCACCTCTACTTGGAAAGGCAAAGAGGGATCCGGATGCGCCAGCACCGGGGCCGAGGCGAACAGGTTCTTCAGCTTGACAAATGCCCTGTCCGCCTCAGCTGACCACTGCAAGCGCACCGGACCCCCCTTTAGCAGGGACGTAATGGGAACTGCAACCTGTCCAAAGCCCCGGATAAACCTCCGGTAGTAATTAGCAAAACCCAAGAACCGCTGCACCTCTTTTACGGTGGTTGGAGTTTGCCAATTACGCACAGCCGATACCCGATCTACCTCTATCTCCACGCCAGACGCGGACAACCGATAACCCAAAAAGGAGACGGACTCCTGGAAGAACAGGCATTTCTCTGCCTTGACATACAAGTCATGCTCCAACAGTCGTCTCAATACTCGGCGCACCTGGGCTACATGCTCGGCTCGTGTAGAAGAGTACACTAGAATGTCGTCAATGTACACCACTACACCCTGCCCATGCATGTCCCGGAAAATCTCATCAACAAAGGATTGGAAGACTGAAGGAGCATTCATTAACCCGTACGGCATGACGAGATACTCGTAATGACCCGAGGTGGTGCTAAATGCTGTTTTCCATTCATCCCCCCCCTTAATGCGCACCAAATTGTACGCGCTCCTGAGATCTAACTTTGTGAAGAATCGCGCTCCGCGTAATGACTCCGTCATCGTCGCAATCAGTGGAAGTGGGTAGCTGTATTTTACTGTGATCTGATTGAGACTACGGTAATCAATACACGGGCGCAATCCCCCGTCCTTCTTCTTCACAAAGAAGAAACTCGAGGAGACCGGAGAAGTAGAGGGCCGTATGTATCCCTGTGCCAAGGACTCGGCTATGTAAGTCTCCATAGCCGCAGTCTCCTCTTGAGACAGGGGATACACATGACTCCTGGGAAGAGCTGCTCCATTCTGGATATTTATCGCACAGTCCCCCTGTCTATGAGGAGGTAGCCTAGCTGCCCTCGATTTACTAAATACTAGTGCTAAATCCTCATACTCGGGGGGAATGCGCAGTGCGGGCACTTGGTTCGGACTCTCTACCGAGGTCGCCCCTAAGGAAACACCTAGACATCTCCCTACACACTGGGCAGACCACTCCATAAGAGCCCTCTGTTGCCACGCTATGGTAGGATCGTGGGTACTTAACCAGGGAAGCCCCAACACCACTGGGTACGCAGGAGAGTCAATCAGATAGAACTGAATGATTTCCTCATGACCCCCCTGCGTCGTCATCGTCAGCGGTGCTGTGACATCCCTGATCAGACCCGACCCCAACGGCCGGCTGTCTAATGCATGGACAGGGAATGGAACTTCTACCGGCCGAAGGGGAATTCCTAACCTAGCACAAAATGCCCGATCAATAAAGTTCCCAGCTGCGCCTGAATCTACTAGCGCCTTATGCTGGGAATGAGGTGCCACCTGTGGAAAACGCACAGGAATACTCATGTGACCAACAGAGAGCTCTGGGTAAGTGGGGCGCCTTCTCACCTGAAATGACTCCCCAGTGCGTGACCTGTTGTCCCCTCTCTCAGAAAACCTTCCCCAGCACCTGGCCGCGGTGTGTCCTCCACGGCCGCAGTTGGTGCAGGAGTTGGCTTTCCTCGGGTTCTCCCTCCTCCTCCTCTCTCTAGCGCCAGCACCCCCGAGCTCCATAGGAGTAGGCTCGGAGGTGCTGGAGGATGGAATGGACGACCCCCACTCGGGACGTCCGCGGGTAGCCAGCAGGGTGTCGAGACTGATGGAGATGTCCACCAGCCGGTCGAACGACAGGTTGGTGTCCCTGCAGGCCATCTCACAACGAACGTCCTCTCGTAGGCTACACCGATAGTGGTCAATGAGGGCCCTCTCATTCCATCCCGCATCCGCTGCTAGTGTCCGGAACTCCAGTGCGAACTCCTGTGCGCTCCTCTTCCCCTGTCGGAGGTGGAATAGACGCTCTCCCGCCGCTTTCCCCTCAGGTGGATGGTCGAAGACAGTCCTGAAGCGGCGGGAAAACTCCGCGTAGGTGATGGTGGCGGCGTCTATTCCCCTCCATTCGGCGTTGGCCCACTCCAACGCCTTCCCGGAGAGACAGGAGATGAGGGCGGAGACGCTCTCGTATCCCGAGGGCGCCGGGTGTATGGTGGCAAGGTAAAGTTCTACCTGTAGGAGAAAGCCCTGACACCCGGCTGCAGAACCGTCATATGCCCTCGGGAGCGAGAGCCGAATGCCACTGGGTTCCGGTGCTGAGAGAGGAGGACTGGCCGTTGGTGCTGGGATGGTGTGAGAAGACGTGGGCACCTCCCGATTCATCAACCGGCGCAGGCTGTTGGACGCCTCGTCCATGACGACCCCGAGTTGCCGGATCATAGCGTCCTGGTAATTTATCCGGTCCTCCAGGGAATCGGGTATCGCCGCTATTCCTGCTGACTCCATGGAAATGGTGTGTTGTTCTGTCATGAGGTGAGGTGTATGTGTGGTGGAAGTCAGGCGCAGGACACCGAGGCTCAGTCCAACAGAGTTTACTCAAAATTCCAAAAGGACACGGTAAACTAACGACCTCAAACAAAAAGAGGCGAGTATTTACGCACATGCGTAAAACACTAAATAACAAAACAAGAAACGAAAACACGCAACACAAGACAGGCGAACAACAACACACAACTAATCCAAACAAACACAGGGAACTTATAGGACACGTAATAATCACAAATCAGACACAGGTGCTAAAGACAGACAAAAGCAATCGCACATGGAAATAGTCCAACGATGGCAGCTAGTACTCCGGGGACGGCGAACGCCTTTGCCTGCCCGAACCAGGAGGAGGAGCAGTCTCGGCCGAAACCGTGACATAGGGCAGTGTAGGATACCATATACGTGAGGTTGGGGGTTGTCTAATTTAAGGGTGGGGTTAGCTCGTTAATTTGTTTAATTAAGGAGGTAAGTTCTGGGAGTACCTGTGATAATGTGTCCTCATTTGCATGAGTTAAATGAGGTGTGTGTTGTTGTGTAGGGGTTGGTCCTAGATCCTTCATTTGTTTGATTAATGAGCTTAGTTCTATGGGTATTCTAGAAGTATCCATGTTACATACGGCTATATATCGTTTGTTTGGGCATTTGTTATTCAGATTGCAGCTTATCAATTTTGCCGTGTTTTTCGTACAGATGGCTATGTCTTGGATGTACCGACGTTTTAGCAAAGCAACCATACGTTTGTGTAACTGGACCTCTCTGGCTTTCAGAGCCCTGTAAAAGGCTGTGAGAAACCTATCTTGAAGATCTATATCCTGATCCTCGTCCCCACTGACGCTGTCCTCAATCAGTATAGGCTCTACCTCAGAATGTATTGTATCAAGCTGATTAGCCGCATCATACCTCAACACATCATCCTCATCATACATCAAGACATCATCCTCATCATACATCAACACATCATCCTCATCATACCTCAACACATTTATCCTCATCATACATCAACACATCATCCTCATCATACCTCAAAACATCATCCTCATCATACCTCAACACATCATCCTCATCATACCTCAACACATCATCCTCATCATAGCTCAACACATCATCCTCATCATAGCTCAACACATCATCCTCATCATAGCTCAACACATCATCCTCATCATACCTCAACACATCATCCTCATCATACCTCAACACATCCTCCTCATCATAGCTCAACACATCATCCTCATCATACCTCAACACATCATCCTCATCATAGCTCAACACATCATCCTCATCATACATCAACACATCATCCTCATCATACCTCAGCACATCACCTCATCATACCTCAACACATCATCCTCATCATACCTCAACACATCATCATCATCGTTATACCTCAACACATCATCCTCATCATACCTCAATACATCATCCTCATCATACCTCAACACATCATCCTCATCATACCTCAACACATCATCCTCATCATACCTCAACACATCATCCTCATCATACATCAACACATCATCCTCATCATACATCAACACATCATCCTCATCATAGCTCAACACATCATCCTCATCATACATCAACACATGATCCTCATCATCAACATCATTGACACTATCATCATTGAATTTATTGACCTGTTTAGATGCAGTAATCAGTATATCATCATTGAATCATCCTCTTCCTCCTCTTCCTCCTCTTCCTCCTCTTCCTCCTCTTCCTCTTGTTGTATTGGGTCTGCTATGCTTGTATAGGCCTTGGAGGAGCCCCAAAACACAATAGAATAAAATATATAAGAAATAGTGTATTAAAATAATAATAATAATAAATAAATTATAAGAATACATAAAAATAAATATTTAATTTTTTAAATAATAACAAAAAATATATAATGCTTTTTTAAACAGTTAATTTATTATGTGTTAACATATCAAAATATCCTAACTCACTGTTTCTGTTTCTCACTGTTCGGACTTGGGTTACAGGGAAATAGCTGTCTGTTTGTTGACTAAACCTGTTTTTCTGTGGAGTCATGGAAGGCCTGTTTTCTTCCCGCTGTCCATTGTCTGAGTCTGTCTTTTTACAAAAATAATAATCATAATATTGTTTTTAACATAGTCATTAAAAATTATAACTATAATAAAACAGGCCATTTCCATAAAGAGCATGTTCTTCAATCCAGTCGTTTTCAGACCAATCGTTCTCCTCGGTCAAAGGTGAAGCCATTCTGTCAACTTGAACTATGTGTCTGTGGAGCCGTGCTGGACTTTGAAATAGTGTCCGTGCCCTATTATATACTGAACGCCTCGGGGGGGGGGAGGGGGGGGGGGGGGGGGGGGGGGGGGGGGGGGTTTGGAGGCGTGTCTAGGTATGACAATCCCTCTGTTCTTGGGTTGGTTGGAGTTTCGTCTATGTCAAAGCCTGCTGTACAGAACGAGAGGAGAACCTCATTTTCACAATCATTCAAGCAGTCATTCAACGGAGGAGTCCATAATGCCTGGGTTGAACGCTGTACACGCTTCTACATGGAGTGTCAGCTGTAAACACAAGATTAGGTTTTTAAAACATAGTACACCTTTTGTTTATTGCTTATTATATAAAGATTATTACCCATTTAAATGTTGACTCACGTCTAAAATATCTTGATGGCGAGTGACTGAGTAAAGATACAGCTTCTGTCTGTTGTTCCTCAAACTCGTTATCCTCTATAACAATCACTTCTGTTTGTGGTGTTGCTTCTTGATCCACATCAATTACTTTGGGTAACTCCTGCATAAATGTAGGGTAACCTGTAGAATTTACATAATTTTACAATATACATTTTTTACTTAAAAATACAGATATTGAACATAAAATAAAATATAGTAATAATATTAATTAATAAAAAGGTTCAGAACTTTTGTAAAACATCACAGTACAGTTGAAACATATATGGCAAATAGAAATCCTATATGGATGGTGTTAAGAGATAGATGGGAGGTATTGAATGGAGTTGAAGGATGGGACTAATAACAACTAACAACAAATAATAACAAAGATAGCTAATAATGTAAGCAAACTGTGTCCATAATAAGTATATAGGTTGTAGGTTGGGAGCTTTTGGGAAAGAGCACAGTTAGAAAGATATGGTATATAGAAGCAAACCGGATGGACATCATGAAAATGATCGGAGAGGTTGAGAGTAGAAGATGTTCAGGAGTAAAAACAAACAAAATATAATTATTGTAAAATTGACTGTGTCCATAAAATGTATAAGTAAGTATATGCTGGAAGTAGAGGCCTAAGCATTGTTGTTCACTAGTTTACTCCAATTAGGGAAAGGGTGTTGGGGTTGGAAAGTAATAAAGGGGAATATATTTTAAAAAAAGGATATGTACTGTATGTATGTACAGTGAGGGGAAAAAGTATTTGATCCCCTGCTGATTTTGTACGTTTGCCCACTGACAAAGAAATTATCAGTCTATAATTTTAATGGTAGGTTTATTTGAACAGTGAGAGACAGAATAGCAACAAAAAAATCCAGAAAAAAGCATTTCAAAAATTTTATAAATTGATTTGCATTTTAATGAGGGAAATAAGTATTTGACCCCTTCTCAATCAGAAAGATTTCTGGCTCCCAGGTGTCTTTTATACAGGTAACGAGCTGAGATTAGGAGCACACTCTTAAAGGGAGTGCTCCTAATATCAGTTTGTTACCTGTATAAAAGACACCTGTCCACAGAAGCAATCAATCAATCAGATTCCAAACTCTCCACCATGGCCAAGACCAAAGAGCTCTCCAAGGATGTCAGGGACAAGATTGTAGACATACACAAGGCTGGAATGGGCTACAAGACCATCGCCAAGCAGCTTGGTGAGAAGGTGACAACAGTTGGTGCGATTATTCGCAAATGGAAGAAACACAAAATAACTGTCAATCACAAAATCAGCAGGGGATCAAATACCTTTTTCCTTCACTGTATGTGTGTATATATGTATATATATGTATATATGTATATATGTGTATATGTATGTGTATGTGTATTATCTCCCGAGTGGCGCAGTGGTCTACTAGAGATCCTGGTTCAAATCCAGGCTCTGTCGTAGCCGCCCGCGACTGGGAGACCCATGGGGCGGCTCACAATTGGCCCAGCGTCGTCCAGGGTAGGGGAGGGAATGGCCGGCAGGGATGTAGCTCAGTTGGTAGAGCATGGTGTTTGCAACACCAGGGTTGTTGGTTCGATTCCCACGGGGGGCCAGTATGGTGAAAAAAATAAAATAATGTATGCACTCACTCACTCTGGATAAGAGCGTCTGCTAAATGACGTAAATGTAAATATGTGTGTGTGTGTGTATATATAAAACATGGGGGACTGGAAGTGATGCAGACAATTACATTGATGGAAGTTACAATCTATCTGCAATATTAAGCTGATCTACCCCCTTAAAAAAAACTAATAAATAAAATAATAATATTAATTACCTGAAAATTGTATGTCATCCAGTCTTAAAATGTCTGCAAAAACCAAATATTGAAATACTGTTAAATATTTAAAAAACCATTGTTATCCATTGAGTGAATTGTTATCCATTGAGAGAGGGATATAGAATAGTATACTAAAGTGCTAGGTAATTTTTTTCTACAACTGTGATGTAACTGAACATCCACTAGGTGGAGCCAGTGGTCCACTCTTGATTAGACACTTCACATAAAATAGAAATTTGTTTGGTAAAAACAGTAGGATAAATACATATGTAGGTAGATTATATATATATATATATATATGAAATATTATACTAACATTCTAAATACACACACACACACACACACACACACACACACACACACACACACACACATAATCAATTGACTAGTAATTTTTCTATAACTGTGATGTAGCTGTACATCCACTAGGTGGAGCCAGTGGTCCACTGTTGAGTAGAGACTTGGTTTGGCATGCAATTTCATGGTTATTGAGACACTACAGCTGCTGTGTAGTGAGCTTGTGACCCCTTGATTCTTCACTGTTGAATCATCCGGTTGGCATCCACTCATATCAATCCCACCATTAAAACAATCAGGTGCATCACAAAGAATGGCATTGATGGTTTTGTCCTTGTGGCCCAGACATGAAGGACACAACACACCTAGAATTGGTCTAGGAGACGTGTTTTCTGGAGTTTTCTGTGGTTGATCTCTCTTGAGGTTTCTTGTCGCTCGTAGTGTTCACAGGACAAGTCTAACACACTTACTTATACTCAGGCAGACCTACCCAGAAATTACTTTTTCATTCTACAAGGGGTCACAAGCTCACTACACAGCAGCTCCATAAGTTCACTACAAAAATTCCCAACTGTTTCACATTTTTCAAACAGTTCAAACTTTAAGTTCAACTAGGTCAGTACACGACACATCAATCACCAGGCCATTACTTTGTATTTCAAACATGTTGTAGAGCAGGGGTGTCAAACGTACGGCCCGCGGGCCGGATCCGGCCCGCAAACGGGTTTAATCCGGCCCGCGAGATGATAAAAAAAAAAAAAAAAAAAATAAATTTTTTTTTTAAGTATAAAAATGCGCTGCAATTTTTCAATAAAATAAACTGCTGTTCCAATTGCGTCCACTGGATGGCGCAATAGCAATTGCGTTAAGCAAGCAAACTGTTTATACCGGGGCAGAGCAAGTAGGTCAAGCACGTGCAGCCAATGAGCTACTTTGTTTTGCCCGCGATATTTATTACGGCTTCTACTTTTAACATTATGTGCTTTGGCACCCTCATTGCCCCAATATGTCTCTGTCAAAAAAGAGAAAAGTGGACGCAGAGTGCAGAGTGTTCCAAGACAAATGGTCATCCTATTTAATCACGGAATTGAATGGGAAAGCTGTATGTTTGGTGTGTTCAGAGCATGTTGCAGTGCTGAAAGAATATAACCTTCGTCGCCACTATGTGAGTCTTCATGCCGACAAATATGACAACTTTCAAGGACAGCGGAGATGAGAGAAGGTGAATGAACTGTTGGCGGGTCTGAAGAAACAGCAGTCTGTGTTTACTCACAGCCGAGACATCAGTGACGCTGCAGTGAAAGCTAGCTACCTCATTGCTAATGAAATCGCAGTGGCTTCAAAACCATTTAGTGAGGTTGAATTTATAAAAACATGCATGATGAAGGCAGCGGAGATTGTGTGCCCTGAAAAGCGGCAGGCTTTTGCAAATATCAGCCTGACAAGAAACACAGTTGCAGACAGGATTTCCGATCTTTCAGTGGATTTGGACAGCCAGTTGAAGCAAAAAGTAAAGTCATTTATTGCGTTCTCGGTTGCAATTGATGAAAGCACGGACATTACAGATGTTGCACAACTGGCCATTTTTTCATCCGCGGAGTTGATGACACATTGACCGTCACTGAGGAGTTCGTGGAGTTGGTGCCGATGACAGATACAACGACAGCAGCTGATATTTTTACCGCACTCGTCGGCGCGCTGGACAGGGTCGGAGTGAACTGGTCCCGCGCTGTCAGCCTGGCTACAGATGGTGCGCCCTCAATGATCGGGAAAAAAGCAGGCGTTGTGACAAAGTTCAGAGAGAAAGTGCAATCTGCA